TAGATTAACTAAAATTATTTTTGTCATTAAATTTAACAAAATTCTAAAAGAAAAACTCGTGCATCACGTAATCTAGTATTATATTAGTTTAGAAGGAACGACAAATCCTTGTGTTCATGGCCTCATGGGATGATGTAGCCCTTATTTTTAATATTTTTTTTTGTCATCTAATGTTATTGATAGATAAACCGAAACCCAAATACATAAGTCTTACATCATAAATCGGCGAACAACTAGATGTTCCCGAAAGCTGAAGCCGACGGACTACGAAATGTCCTCGGAAGCAACAACCCAAAAGAGGGGAACTTATAAACTACGGGAAACGAAAACACTAAGCTAAAACATTAAATAATACAAGCGGAAAATGACTGACTAGGAATTTGAAAGACAAGGAGACAAATTTTGCCGAGAACAAACGTGAAAACTGGATACAGAACACGAGATGAGAGAAACCAAGTGACCGAGATAAGGGAATGGGCCACAACCTCAACTCTACGAACCCAAGCCAAACACCCAAAAGATGGGAAATGCTCACTGACTTTACATCCGCTTTTGCTGGCAAAACCCCAATCCATTAGCTCCACACGTAAACAGCAATCACAAAGTTGAAAGAACAAGACAAAGGCCAAGTGAATCATGAAGCCAACAACGAGTGCAGCTAAGCCGTAATGCCCACAACTCCGAAGACTTGTACAATTGACACTTGACTCAACACGAAGACAGTAACAAATGACTAGAACCGATGCTTCAACCAATAGATAGCCATTCACAAAACAGCCAAAAACTACCTAATACCAACTAACACTAAAGCCTAGAAAAAAAACAACTAAAGATGCAAACTACAAAGACGGCAGAACAGAGCCGACAAGGAGGACGACCCAAAGGGACAAGAAGAACCAGACCTGACCTAGAAGAAACGGAAGTCACGAGAAAGAGAGGAGAACCACAGTCCAAATCTAAGGAGTTAACAGCTTGCTGTTCCGCTGCTCATAGAACCGGCCCCCCGAGAGCAAGGAAGTCCTATCCCCATCAAGAATCCCACACTCCAAAACATGCCAGAAGCGAGACCAGGCGGAAGACCCAGAGAGTGTAGATCCGAGAGAAGAAAAGAGGAAATCGGAACCAGCCAAACCGAGCACAAAGCACCCATCGACAGAGACCGGAACCTCGACAAGCTTCACCCGAGACCTAGACGAACCTGAACACCGAACTGCTCTGCATTCAAAACCCAGATCCGAAACAAAACCCACAAAGAAGATCCTCCACACCACCCTAGAAACTACCGGCGAAAAAAAAAACATATAGATTAAGACACACGGGTTCTAGCACCAGCGCTAAGTGAGCCGCCGGCCACCGGATCCAACCAAACGAAGGAGCGAAGATCTGAAGCGCCGCTACTCTTGGGAGGCCCTTATTTTTAATCTATTTCCCCAATTAAAAAGTAGAGAAACTCTTCTTTTTAACTCTAACTGAAGCTTTTTTTGTTTTGGGGGGGAAACTTCCCATATAGTTACATTAGGGATACGTGGCGATAAAATCGTAAATGAATCATTTTCTGTTTTGCATATGATTTGAACATTTAACATAATTTTAGGTAAATAACATATTATCGAGTAAAATAATACATACAAAATCTACGCAATTTTTGAACAACATATGCCATAAATAAACTCAACTGTCTTTTTGTGTGATATCAATGTGAATGTCATAAAGAGGTTTGGGACTCACTCATTCGTCTTTTAACCTCTACAAGCATCGCTGGGGGCTCTCTGTTTCTACTTCACTATACTTTCCATAGTTCCCTA